CTTTAAATATCTCGACCGTTTAACAGCGACGGGTTTTTCTTCCAAAAGCATCACGTAGAGAGAAGAGGTCAGCGATGCATCAAGGGCTCGTGTGCGACCAAGATGCGTGTAGAAGCGGGTGGAGTCGAGAACGAGATATTATTGCAGTGAGGAACTCGTCGGCTCGCTATAGCTGCGGGAACACATTGAGGTGCGGTGGGCTTCTCGCCGTCGTCTATTCTTGCGCTGCGGGACGACCTGCCAACACTCATGTTGGCGGCCACTGTTCCTGCAATACGTAGTGGCTCGAGCCGGCGGCGCCGAGCGGAGCTGGACCTCCACGAAGGGAGTACCCTCGTCTCATACATACTGTGTCCACGCTGAGCACATCAAATTAGCACAGCAGAGTGCGTAGAGCAAGAAGTGTTCGCTGCGATTTATGGGTTGACACCTAAAGCACTACCGGCAGCAAAGCTGCCAGCGATGAGCGATATCAACTATTTGGCCTCTGACAAAAAATTCCGTGGAAAACGGGCAACATGACCGCATGCTTCGTGCACATCTACAGTACGATGCACGACAAGCGAGCGAGCTGCTACACCGTCAATGACGCGTGCAATGACGTCGTCGTTTGCCGTGGGAGGGCGACGGGAAGGGCTGATCGCGACCGGCACAGCGCACATTTTATGCTGTCGGGGCCGAGAAAGGATGTGCGGACGCGACGCAGTTGCAGCACGGAGCAGCTACTGTGGCGACGACACTTGAATGACGCGCCTTGTGGCCCTCTTTCTTTGCACGTCGCGCTCGTTTAGCTGAGGCGAGCAGCATGACGTTGCCATTGCCCGCGTCTGGCGCCAGTGGGTGTTCTATGTGGTTTACGTGTGATTTGCATGTGGGAAACCTATCTTCTACAAAAATCCAGTACAAAATTTGCGCACACACCAAACTTTTCCCACAGCTGACAGATTACACACACCATACGCGGACAGGCGCGGTATACGAACACCAAGTGCGGTGAAATAGACACCCAAGCCGGACAAATTTGGCGGCCGCGGAGAAAGGCTGAGACTCGAATGCGCGCCTGCTTGAGCGGCGTGAGCTGGGCGAGCCCAGTCCTAGCTGCGATCGCTGCGATGGCCACGGCCCAGGATAGCGTCGTCAACTGCGTCGTGCCAAGCGCAAACACACTCACCTCGTCCTGCTACGGCGCCTGCAACGAGACGTCGGCCAACTCGACGACGGCGTCGTGCCTCGTCTTCGGCGCCAAGGGCACTGCGGCAGGCTGCGCCAACCAAAAGCCCGGCCTGTGCCACGATGGCGTCGGACCCAACAAGTGCAAAGTGCTCTGCCTCGTGCAGCCGGCCGATGCGTGGACGTACCTCGTCGGCGTCGCGGACCCCAACAGCGCCAACGTTGCCGACATTGAGCGCATCGACAGTCTTGTGCTGCCACCGACCGTCACCTCTCTGTACGAACGACATGCGCGACGATAAGCACGGTGGCTCATGGCAGCGTAGACGGCTCCTACCCCGCGACAAGGTCGACAACCCCTCGAAGACGATCGACGTCTCGGCGACAAGCATCAAGCGCGCGCCGGGTCTGCGCTCACTGTGCGTCCATGTCGTTTTCTTGCTTAAGCTCATCGCATGTACAATAGGTCGGTCGAGCAACTTCTCGTGCCCAACATTAGCGCGCTCACGGTCTTCCCCAACATCACCTCCTTGTACGTCCTGCTTCAATGCAGACTGTGGGCTGATTGCACCGACTAGACAGCTCAAGCAAGTCAAGCTGTCGCCGGATGAGTTCAACAACATCTTACACGTCGAGTTAATCGAAACGCTGTGCGCATCAAGCTCGTAGCGCGTTGGGATCGCTCATAGCAAGTTGCGTAGGAACTTGGCCAACAACAACCTTGCGACGATCCCTGGCAACGTCTTTGGCATGAAGTCGCTCAAGCAGCTCGACCTCTCGATGAACCCGCTCCAGAGTGTCTCGCTCAGCGGTAGCGACGAAGCTTTTCTGAGAAACCTCGCGACACTCACTGCCACCGGCTCGCCGTCAACACCGTGTCCGTCCAACACGGCCCCGAAGAACATCCAAGGCTTGCAGTACTGCATGAGCAGTACGCGACTCTAGCATCTTGCATCATGCCACTAAGCTACAACACGCTAGGCTCTACGGTCGCACCCTCGGACCCGCTGCGCATGATCGAATCGACGACGACAGCGCCAGCAGCAACACCATCCCCCAGTGAGACGAGTCGCGGGTATTTGTTTTACCTATTTATCGGCCTCGGGTGCCTCGCCGTGCTTGGTGTCGGCGTCTACTTGCTTCTCTTCCGGAGCAAGCGGGCAGCGTCCAAGGCCAAGAAGCACCAAGCCACGAGCCACCGCCAGACGTCAGTGCACGTCGACGACGACCTCCACGGCGCGCCGGACACGGCAACCTTCCAGCCGTGTGCGTCAGTGCGCCCGAGCAGTGCCCTCCTCACCGCGCGCTCGTCGCTCTCGGCCGCGGCGCTCTCGATGCGGAGTCTCCACCACGAGATTGCGGCGCGGGACGTCGACGTCTCGGCGCACGCAGTGGTCTTCAAGCACAACCGCTTCGACATGCTCTTGGCCAAAGTCCGCGGGTCGCCCGTGTACCTCAACCGCGTCCTGCCGCTCACGCAGGACAAGGCGCTCTCGCTTCTCTCGATGCTTTCGACGCTCCGGCATCCGCGGCTCATGAACGTCCTCGGCGTCGTGTGGCGGTCCGTCGACGTTGGCATTCAAATGGACGTGGCACTCGAGTTCCTTGACAGCGGGACGCTTGAAAGCGTCCTTCTCCATGGACACCGCAGTCTCTCGTGGCACAGCGGGAAGCGCCAAATGGCCCTCGAGGTTGCATTGGCGCTGCTCCAAGTCCACGAACACGACTTTGTCTACAACGGCTTGACGGGCAAGACCGTGTTTGTCGACAGTGCGCAGGGCTGCAAGCTGCACACGCTCGCCCTCGTCGACGACGGCGCGATCGACGACGACCAGTGTCGGACCGAAGACCGCATCTTCCTCGCGCCCGAAGCGCTCACAGGGTGCGCGATCTCGAGCGCCACCGACATGTACGCGTTCGGCGTCCTCCTCATGCTGTTGGACGCAGGCGTGACGCCGTGGCAGCTCAGCCGGCGGACGTGGCTCCAAACGGCGAGCGACCCAACCGCGGCCTTTCCCGATGAAGTCGACATTACGAGCTTGCTCGGGCTCTATGCCTTCGACACGTGCCCTGCCATCATCAAGGCCGTCGCCAAGTCCTGCGTGCACCCCGACCCGATGCAGCGCCCGAGCGCGTCGTTTGCGTACGCCATGATGCGAAAAGACCTCGTTGGGTAGCCCTACCATTTCTACTAATCTACTGTCGTGAGTCTGTTGCAGTCTGCGCCCGTTTGCGTCTCAGCATCCTACAATTCTGAAACAGAGCGTTTTGAAAGACGCGCTTCGAGCTCCCGAGCAGGTGTCGGGCACATGTGTCGACGCGGCGGCGCTACCGTGGGCAAGACGCGAGTGCAGTCACAAAACCATTGGATTGGGGGCTATTAATCTCCAAAGAAACTTGGCTTTTCGATGGAGATGTTGCAACAACATGCCAAGGTCCAAAGGGGTCTGTCAACCACGCCACAAGAAGCTACCGTGAAGTCAGCAAAAGAGCGCTTAGATGTCCTTGCGCTGGAGGCCCGGGGGGAGCGACTGGGTGAGCTTGTCGGCCTTCTCCGTGTCCGTGACGCAGAGCGTGTAGAGGTACTTGGAGCAGCGGATCTTGAACTTGACGACCTGCGGGGTCTTCTTGATCTTGACCGAGCGGGCGTCCTTTCGGCGCGCCTTCTGGAGGAAATCACGGATGTCGGTAATCTGCTTCGGCTACAGGAGGAGGCATGAGCCATCATGCCAGCGCATGTCGCCTCCGGAGGCGGAGGCGCCATGTTTTCGTCGTCGTACCATTGTCTACTACTGGCTTGGTTAATGTGGCAACTGCAGCAAAGTAATCGGCTCCGCGATCGCACCAAACCGAGCTCACTGGCTGGGAACACTGCACACCAAGGATGCGAACGGCCAATCAGATCGCACGTCCTTCCAAAACCAGTAACTACGGCCTTCTCCGATTGGCTGAAATGCAAAACCATTCGCGCCCGCCGATTGGCGTAGGACCACTGGCCTCGGCGCTGTGATTGGCGGAAAGCGGATCCGGAGCGTCATAAACACCCATCCATGTCAATGAGCGCACGCTCGGCGCATGCATTGGGCTAACCCGTGCGATGGTGCGAGAGGCGACCACCGACGACGCGCCTGTGACGCTGCGTTGCGGGCAGAGACCCTGGCACTCGAAGACGGATCTCGCTCGGTTTTGCGGTCGACGACGCGCGAACGTCAACGGTGCTGGGCGATTGCAACGAATTCGGTTTGCTGCCAACACGCCATGACATGGACACAGAGTCACAGTATGGCAAGACTGAGAGTAGAGTCTGTGCAGGTCCTGTGAAGCCTGCGCCCATGCGTCGTCGCACGGTCGGCGCAGAACCGCCTTCCTCGTTGCGATAAAAGCCCGCCCGTTTCCAAGCGTACGCAAGTTGAATAGCTGCATCGAAACTACATCACTCGCGGTTGTAGCAATAGTCTACACCCGCGGTTGAGAGAAGAGCTGAGGAGGCAACAGGCTCATCCGTTTGACCAACATGTAGGCCACCAATGCTTGGTCGAAGAGTGACACCATGGCATGCATGTGCAGATGCTTTAGATTTCATCTTATAGCCCAAAAGGAAAACGTCGCAATATTTTCCAACAAGCTCGATCCTCAATTTCATGTACCGGTAGACAATATCAGAGGCTGCTATCATTAGCGTTCGCCAACCTGAGTGTTGGCAGGTCGTCCCGCAGCGCAAGAATAGACGACGGCGAGAAGCCCACCGCACCTCAATGTGTTCCCGCAGCTATAGCGAGCCGACGAGTTCCTCACTGCAATAATATCTCGTTCTCGACTCCACCCGCTTCTACACGCATCTTGGTCGCACACGAGCCCTTGATGCATCGCTGACCTCTTCTCTCCACGTGATGCGTTTGGAAGAAAACACCCGATGCTGTTAAACGGTCGAGATATTTAAAGAAAGATCGGATCTTTCGAACACCCAACTTCAAGGAAAAGCAAATCGAGCCAATCAAACGCCCACCAGCAACGGTCGCGTCAAAGCCTCGATTCCGCCTTCTCTTGCTTTTTGTATGCCAACGTCCATCGTTGGGTGACGAAATCCATTGGACCAATCGACGCTTTGACGCATTGGATCTTTCGGCTCCAATTCCAACTCGACCAGCTCACTTTGCCTTTGTACTCTAAGCTCCCTCACGCAGCTTCGTGTACACGCGACCGCTTCTGTCTCCCTCCACGACAACCGCCACCTAATCCAACATGCGTGAGGTCATCTCGATCCATCTCGGCCAAGGCGGCATCCAGACCGGTAATGCGTGCTGGGAACTCTACTGCCTCGAGCACGGCATCCAGCCCGACGGCCAAATGCCATCGGACAAGACCATTGGCGGCGGCGACGACGCCTTCAACACGTTCTTCAGCGAGACCGGCGCCGGCAAGCACGTGCCCCGCGCCGTGCTCGTGGACCTCGAGCCGTCCGTCTGCGACGAGGTGCGCACGGGCACGTACCGCCAGCTGTACCACCCGGAGCAAATCATCTCGGGCAAGGAAGACGCGGCCAACAACTATGCCCGCGGCCACTACACGATCGGCAAGGAAATCGTCGACTTGGTGCTTGATCGCATCCGCAAGCTCGCCGACAACTGCACGGGTCTGCAGGGGTTCCTCGTCTTCAACGCCGTCGGTGGCGGTACCGGGTCGGGCCTCGGCGCGCTCCTTCTCGAGCGTCTCTCGGTCGACTATGGCCGCAAGTCGAAGCTCGGCTTTACGATTTACCCGTCGCCGCAGGTCTCGACGGCCGTCGTCGAGCCGTACAACTCGGTGCTCTCGACGCACTCGCTCCTCGAACACACGGACGTGGCCGTGATGCTCGACAACGAAGCCATCTACGACATTTGCCGTCGGTCGCTCGACATTGAGCGTCCCACGTACACAAACTTGAACCGCCTCATCGCGCAGGTCATCTCGTCGCTCACGGCGTCGCTGCGCTTTGACGGTGCACTCAACGTCGATGTGACCGAGTTCCAGACCAACCTCGTGCCGTACCCGCGCATCCACTTTATGTTGTCGTCGTATGCACCGGTCATCTCGGCCGAGAAGGCGTACCACGAGCAGCTCTCGGTGGCCGAGATCACCAACTCGGCGTTCGAGCCGGCGTCGATGATGGCCAAGTGTGACCCGCGCCACGGCAAGTACATGGCGGCGTGTCTCATGTACCGCGGCGACGTGGTGCCCAAGGACGTGAACGCGGCCGTGGCGACGATCAAGACGAAGCGCACGATCCAGTTTGTCGACTGGTGCCCGACGGGCTTCAAGTGCGGCATCAACTACCAGCCGCCGACGGTCGTGCCGGGTGGCGATCTCGCGCGTGTCCAGCGCGCCGTGTGCATGATCTCCAATACGTCGGCCATCGCCGAGGTCTTCTCGCGCATCGATCACAAGTTCGACTTGATGTACGCCAAGCGTGCGTTCGTTCATTGGTACGTCGGTGAGGGCATGGAAGAAGGCGAGTTCTCGGAGGCGCGCGAAGACTTGGCCGCGCTCGAGAAGGACTACGAAGAAGTGTCGGCCGAGACCGCCGAGGGCGAAGGCGAGGAAGAGGAGCTCGGCGAGGAGTACTAACTAGACTGCTCCAAAAATGTAATCAACACAAGAGTTCTTCTCAAGCTTCGATTATGGACCCTTGTCTTTTGGTTACAACGGGATGTGACATAACAATGATCTAAGCTTATCTTTTCAATTGTTCGTTTGTTCCAGAAGCTCCGCACCCCTATCACTTCCTCACATTGATCGCCGTCGGCAATGTACTCGTGCCGCCGAAACGCCTCAAGTACTAACTAATATGGAAGTGGGTGTCGATTTTTTCTCTGAAGAGACTGCAATTAGATCCGTGAAACAAGTAACTAGGGCTACATCTCGAGCGATCGGAGCCCCTTCGTTGCAGGGACGTGGAGGACGGCACCGTTGCACATAGCAAGTCGATCGATGCGTCTTGGGGTAGTGCACTCTTTGATTGTTGGTGGCGTCAGGAATACAAATGCACGCTGGAGGCGGTTGATGTGTCTGTTGAGACCCACGCGTGTGAGAATAGAGTCCCGCAAGTACTTTGACGCCATCGGAGGCCGCTCTGAGACGGTGATCTGGAGGAAGTAAATGGTCAACTGGGTGACGACGATGGCGTCGATCGCTGGGAACGTGGGAAAGCCCGGATGAAAGTATGTGTTACTGCACAAGTCAGTGACGATGTAGTCGAGACAACCTTGCTCGTTCGGCACGCCCTTGACGACTTTAAACGAGTCGTCGATGGTCAGCGTGGCCGACAACTTGAAAAATATGTAGTACGAGCTGTAGTCCGAAACGCGGAGCTTGAGCTGGCGTTCCGACGCGAGCTTGTGTACGAAGCTCTTAAAGACCCACCCGTAGAGAGCACCGCCCCACGCTTCTGCCCACTTGAGGATGGACACGGAAAACTTGAGCAACGCCATCGTGGTCAAGAGCCACCCGAAGCACTTGGACTTGACTTCTCGCCGCCAATGGACGTCCTTGACGTAGTGGTCGTAGTTGTCGATCGCATCGACATATATTTGGCGGAAGGTTTCGATCCTGGCGTTCGTGGGCCCCTCCGTGTTGTGCTGAAGGGCCTTGATGTCAGCCTCCGTCAGGTGAAAGCCGATTTCGGCTTGAGCGGTCCTGGGCTCACGGACTGGCTCACGGAGAAACTCGCGAATGCTGCCGCCAGAGTAAGCATAGCGCGTCTTGAACGAGGCTTGGAGCGCTCTTCCGGCCACGAGCTTGAGACTTGTCTCCGACCACGCTGGTACGAGCAAGGGTACGCGCGCACCGCCTGGCATCGTCTGGAACTGCCCGGACGTCGAGATGATGTGTGCAGCGGCAATGAAGCAAAACAGCGGTAGGTGCATGTTGCTCTCGTCTTGGCGGTACCCGTCGCCAATGATGAGAAAGTTCTTGTTCTCGGCCAAGCTCTTGCGCTTGAACTCGTCGACGCAGAGATCCCAACGAGCCCGAGTGGGATCTTCGGTGCTTGCACTGGCATCGCAGTAGCCGCAGCAGACACCTCGGAAGCAGCAGAAGCCGTATCGTTCGCGGTCCAGTCGGCTGAAGTGGATTGTGTGCGAAGCAAAGCTGCACGTGCTTCGTTGATGCCCGCACCGTCGGCGTCGTCGGTGCTGTTGGCGACAAGGAAGCGCCATACGACAATCATCTCATGCCGGACAAAGAGCGTCCGCGCGAACTCCCCGTATCCTTGAAAAAGGCGTTAAAGTGCGCTCGTATCGATGCGGGGACCACTTGTTGTGGCGAGGAGATCGCACGCGTCCTCGTCAGTTAAGGGAGCTCCAAGCTCCGTGGTCCAGGGCCATGTCGACCACGGCGGCTGTCCTACTCGGCATGAAAACCACGAACGCATCGATGAGGCACACTATTACCTTGCATGGTCGAGTTCGGTTTGGCAAACCAAGTGTCCGCTGCGCCCAGCGTGCGTGCAACATCGAGCACGTTGCGCAACGACAGCTCGAGCACCATTTGCGTCGGCGCGACGAATGCCACGAGCTCATTACCAGGCAGCGGTACGACGAGTGCGATCGGTAGATCGAGGTCCGAAAGGTCGAGCGGCGCGTTGCCGGCTCGGAAGAAGCGGCTGCCACGTCACGAAGAGCTTGCCGGGCTGTGGGAATGGTATTCGGAACACTTTATCCCGTTAGTCTGGATGCATCAACCGCAATACGCTAGGAATCCCGTTGACGAACGACCAGATTCGATCTGGCACCATGGCGTACAAGAGCCTCACAACAGTCGCGCCCTTTTACGCGTTGATGCCCCTGTTCAGCATTTTGCACCAAGTTTACGTCAAGTGCTCGCCATTGGATGTCTCGCCCAACGCTATCTTCACGCGATCGTGGCTCGTGACGCCCGTGCTCTCGGGCCGCAATCGCGAACCGGCTCGCCAAACACTGCCGGCGTTCAAAAACCGGCGGGAATCGGAAAATGATATTGCCGCGGAGTACCGTCCGGTTGCTACGAGCCAGGAGCAGGCCGAGTCGGGCGTCGGGACGTACCTTGGGTCGTACGTTTGCTTTGCCCACGAGGGCAAGTGGGCCTACCGTCTCGTTGTCGACTGCGTCTGGTCGACTTTGAAAGACTACAACCTTTTGGCCAAGACGTGTCGCGGCAATTGCTACGTCCCGGTCGATGATGCTACCTTGTGCGTGCTGACAACGGCGGGCTACGCGCTGCGTCCGTTTGACGACCTTCCCGTCTCGTCGCATTCCGTGGCCGATGTCAAGACAGCGACAGAGTTGATTGCACTCGACTTTGCGACTCGAGACCGCCATGCGCCGCTCGACTTCTCACAGCTGGTGTTGCCTTGCACCCCAACGACTCCGCCCTCGGGCGACACGCTTCTTCCTTGCGTGTTTGACGTCTGGCTCGGCGAGATGGCTGTGGACGGCGTACTCGACCAAGTGCACGCTTACTACACCCGATACAAGTCGCACGACAATGTGCTTTCAGGAATAAAATTCAGCCTCGACAGTAAGAGGACAGCTGCCTTTTAGTTCCCGCAAATCTCACATTTATTTAGACATGCCGATCAAGCTGCCCGCGATGGCCCCTTTCGTACCATTCTACGATATCACCGATTTGGCCAATGTCGACGTCCCTGACCTTTGCGCGATCCAAGCTGGCGCCACTGTCGACACGAGCACTCTCCGCCGCCTCTTTGATGGGTTTGGCGATTGCCCCTCGGTCGTCTACGTGCGCAAAGAGATGCGCATGGTGTGGGATCTCTTGCTGGCCAACTTTTTGCCCACGAAGGCTTTGACGAGCCTCGAGGCCGCCGCCCTGCACGCTGTTCAAAATTACATCATCAAGCTCCACAGCCCCTGGCGCCTGCCAGACGCAGCGAGCATGCGCAGTGCAGTGCTCGTGGGCTCACCAGGCGTCGGCAAGTCGGTGCTCCTCGTCCTCTTTTGCGCCTACCTTGCGGTCCACCGCGACTACTACGTATTTCTCTCGCGCGCGCTTCCCGGTGAGCCCTCCTCTCCCGACGCCGTCGTCTGCTTCCGCGGCCGCCACGTCACCAAGCAAACCGCTACTTGCACCAAGAGATCCTTGCGGTCTTTGACGCGTTCAAGCGCGAGGCCATCGCTCGAGGCAAGAAGCTTTTCGTTGTCGGCGACGGGTACAACCAAGACGACTTTGACACGGTGGCGCCATTGACGAGCATCTTTGGGCCCAGCGACCTGCTCTCGGTCGCTACGTACAAGAAGCGCGCCGCGCGATTGGTTGTGACAGTGCCGGCGTGGACCAAGGAGGCCCTCGAGAAGATGGCATCCGAAAACGACCTCTGCCACCGGACGGTGGGCGAGTGCCACGCAGTGTCTGGCGGCGATGTGCGCTCGTTTCCAGCACCCAATGTCGTATCCCCAAGTGCAACGCTCGAGGCGATCGAAAGCCTTGTGGCACGTGGCAGCGCGCCAGCCATGTCTGTGGATGCGCTGCAGCACGTGTACATTGTCGACACGGCTTTCTACGAGCACTACGTGGACCCGATTTACCGGCGGACCATAGTCGACACGACGTTTGTCCAGCAGTGCTTGGTCGCCGAGGCGTCGATGCCGTTCTTTGCGTCCGTGGTGCAGTGGGCCGAACGATCGGAGCACTGCGAACTCTGCACGTCGCTTCACGCTGCGTTTGTGCATGCGCTGGCGCGCAATCGCAAGCTCCAGCTTTGCATCGAGCACAAGACGTCGGTGAAGCGCTTTGCGCTGGACGCCGAGTGGTTGATCGTGGCGGCACCGATCTCGGAGCCGGACGGTCTGGCGTATCTCAGAGACGACTTGGGCGACAAGACGTACTGGTACCCTGGCCACGCAGTGTGCCCCGGCGTCGATGCAATCCTTGTCTACAACGGGTGGGTCTACTACCTCCAGACGACAACAACGAGTCGTCCGATCCCGGCCTTGGAGTCGTTTGCACTGGCGAGCGTCCACGCAGCCATCTCGTCCAGCAAAAAGCTGGCCACGTACACACACGCTGTTGTGCTGCTCTTGCAATCGCCAGCCAAGTGGTCGGGTCGGCTTGAAGGCAAGGTCGCTGCGACCCTGGAAGCAAAAATACCGGGGCGACGCGTCGCGAATCGAGGACCGTCAACGCAGGCGTGTAACCTTCATTAACCCAAACACGATTGCAAGTTGAGTTGTCACGAGAAACGGCGATTCAAATGAGAAGACTTGCTTGTCAGCGCACGTTTGAACGAGGTGGCATTTGTGAGCATCTTGCCTTTCGACTGCTCCAGTGGCAAGAAGACTGGGAATATCCATTGAGTGTCCTCTGGATAAGCGAGATGCCTGCGCAGGGCAATAATATGATCCCTCATCTGGTCCAGAACAGAGTCAGCAGGAACGCTGTTCGCACCGAAAGCTTAGGCTGCGTCAAGCGCCGCTACCGGTACTTTCGTCACCACCGTTTCTTGCCGGAAAGACGGAGCGTCACCAATCTTCAACGAGGCACACTATCCAAGTTGCTGAATCTTCGTACGGCCTCGCCCTTGAGTCTTGGCCACGTTCAGCAGGGGCAAGAGATCATGTCTTGGTAGTAGCTTCACCTCGGTATCCATCATGCCTTTGGCTTGCGGTGGAGAGACCCGGACGACCTCACAAGCGATCCATCGCCAGTCGAAGTAGCTTGTCCCTGAGCTGGCCCTGGCATAGATACATCTTGCAAGTTCGAAAGCTCCCCTCCTCAAGATAGAGCCAGCGAGCATAGCCAGGCGGCCTTGTCGACTATGCACCGTCTCCTGCGTGCATTGCCGCAGGCCCGACCAGACTGGCAATCACAGTTTGCGATCCTGTAGCATCCGGATACGATGTATCATCCGGATAATGCAACTCGGTGGTGTTGGTGCCATTTACGCTCGATGATGTACCGCGCTGTTCCGCTCCGCGCCATGAGCACGGGTGTGCGCCTCGCGCCCCGTGGCGGCGCTGGCTCTGGTGCCAAGATTGCTGGTCGCTCGCGATTCTACAAGGAGGTCGGCGTGCAGGCGCAGGACGAAGCTGACGGTGGCGGCTTTTGCGTCACGCTGGACGGCAAGAAGGTGCGCACGCCCGCGCGATCGTTGCTGCAGTTGCCGACCAAGTCGCTTGCCGCCGCTGTGGCGATGGAATGGGATGCGCAGAAGGAGTCGATCCAGCCGTCGACGATGCCGATGATGTCGCTCGCGGCCACGTCGCTTGACTTTTGGGAACTCGACATCATCGTGGACGAGCTCATGAAGTACCTCCAGACCGACACGATCTGCTTCCCCGTCGAAAAGACGCACCAAGAGAAGCTCGCGACGCGCCAGGAAAAGAAGTGGGGCACTCTTCGCAAATGGTTTGAGGAAGAGTTCGACGGCGAGCTCGATGTGAACCACGGCACGATCACCGTGCTTCAGCACAACCCGACGGCCGTCGCCAACGTCCGCGCCTACCTCCAGCAGGTCGTCCTGCTCGTACATATGAGTACTTACACGCGTGTCCTGGATTAGATGGACAACTTTGAAATCATGGCCTTCCGCTGCATCGTGCGCGAACTCAAGGTACGCTACTTGGATGATGGTAGCCATTGCTGAGATCAGAAGTAGTCGATGACCGTGGCGCTGGCCCTCACGAAGCGCCACATCACGGCCAAGGAGGCGATTGAGCTCGGTCGTCTCGAAGAAGAGTTCCAGGTGCGTCTGCCATACGCTTTGATGAACGATCGGACCACGATGCTGCTAGATTGAACGCTGGGGCTTGGTCGAAGGCGGCCACGACCTGGACCGCGTCAACTGCTCTGTGAATGTGCACAGCGCGTCCTTCTTCCTCTGGCTCTTGAAGGAGCGCAGTGCGTAGGCGTGCAGCTGCCGACCAGGTAGTAAGAACTAAAAACCTTGAAGACGCACAACGGATGCACGAGGAGGAGATCGCGGGCACTCGTATCACGTGATATAAGAGCAGTCGTTGGATGTAAGACAGTGCAACTGCGCCTCTCACAACCGCTTCAACGGCTGCAGCAGTTGTTTGTTCGCCGCTGGATTTCGTACGTGGCAGTGCAGTAGGATACTAACCAGCGCCTTCCTCCATCTCGCGCGGTAGCGTGCGGCAACGTCGGCCACTTCAACGCGGGCTGTAACCCGTTCGATGGCTACTTGCGCTCCGGACGCAGTATCCGGACTCGCCCGAAGAGAGCGGGACCGAAGCCGGTGGCAAGCCCACAATGATGACACGGCAGGCCCAGCTGCGACGGCTGTCGATTCAAGCGCGCGCTATCCATAGCGTCGTCGATGGGTCGCCACGTCCTGCCGTCTTCGGCGGGCGCAGACGTCCGTGGGGGCATGGCGTTCGTGGGCGGGGGTTAGCACCCCTTTTTGTCATGTAGTCCTTTTTTGGCATTCAGAGGTCGCAAATCCATGTACCGAGTATACTAAAACGCAGTCGCAGCACTGCTGATGGTCACTTTTTGAAATTCGCTTCGCTGGGATAGAAGTGGATTGCGGCGATGGACAACGGCAACACGTTCCTGCAGATGGATGACATGATGGACGGCGACGACCTCGGGCTGATGGACAACTCGTACAACCCGTTCCTGACGAACCTCTCCAACATGAGCCTCGCGCAGAACCACCACCCGGGCATGCACATGCAGCAGCGACCGGGCATGCATCATCCCGCGATGCGCCAAGGCCAAATGTCGCCCGCGCACCTCGACGTCGACATGATGGCTGCCGGCAACCCGCAAGTCAACGTCGGTGCCAACAACAACACGACGCTCTTCCAAGCATATGCGTCGCAGTTTGGCATGAAGCCGGCGACGCACATGCCCGACCCGGCCGCGGACGCCAACTCGGTCGAAGCCTACGCGGCCATGATGGGCGTCAAGCTCGAGAGCCCGCGGTCCGCGATGCAACCCAAGCCGGCTTTTGACGCCCGCGCGCAGAACAATGCGGCGTACTTTGAGTCGCTCTTGAAGATGCAGGCCGGGCCCGGGATGGGCGGCAACAACGCCCACAACCTGACGTCCATGACGCTTCCTGCTGGCGTTGGCGCTGGCTTCCACATGAACCCGCACGTTGCGCCAGGTCACAACGGGAACAGCAACATCAGTAACGTTGCGATGCCTCTCGACGCACGTGCCGCCGGCCTCGTGACGATGGACGGACCGGCGCCCGGCCCGATCAAGGCGGAGAAGGCGATGCCAGTCCAGTTCAGCTCGGGCCTCGTGGGCTCCCAGACGCTCTCGCCGGAGATGCTTTCGTCGATGATCCAAAGCAACATGCAGAGCGGTGACGTGACGTCGCACTCGTACGGCAGCAACACGTGGAACGCTTGTAAAGGACTCATGTATCTGGATCCAAACTCACGAGCATTGCTTGTGTAGCCGACTTTGATTACGAGAAGGACGCGCTCATCTCCAAGGCCGACAAGAGCCGCGAGCGCAACCGCGATCACTCGCGCAAGTCGCGCCTCCGCAAAAAAGTGTTTGTCGAGACGCTCAAGCAAGAAGTCAAGCAGCTCCAGATCTACAAGGATCTCGTGGACCAGAACCCAGATCTGATTGCGCTCGTGACGGCCGACCACGACCGCAAAATGCTCTACGCGACCGCGTCCTTCTCGCGCGTGCTTGGGTACCCCGAGAAGAAGCTCATGGCCGACAGCGTCAGCTTCTTTGAGCTCGTGCACCCGGTACGATTCCTTGCGCCCGTACGCACCCTCTCACGCGTCCATTTAGGATCATGTGGCGAAGCTCAAGGCGGAGCTGAGCAAACTGGCCAAGTTCCAAGACATCAACAGCAGTAGGCGATCGACTTGTCGGATACAAAAGAGGCTCACGCGGCACGTAGTTCCCTTCCAGATCAAGCACGCCAAGGGCATGTACTGGAAGGCGGCGCTGTCGGCGCGCGTCGGCGAGCACGGTGTCGTCTTCACGTCGCGCGTCGAGAAGGAGAACCTGCCTGCGGCCTCGCTGGACCGAGCATTATAAATCCCAGTCCCGAGTGCCATTGCAGCACTCGGCGCACTCCCTATATACGACGACACGCACCCTCTTTGTCTTATTGTTTTACGCTCTTCGTCCAACTCGAGTTACGTGGGCACGAACGCAGCGTCTAGGAGGAGGCCGTGCCAATGCTCGCGGACCGCCGCCATGGTCGCCGTCAAAATCTCTTGCTCGTGGATGACCGTCCGCGCGAGGTCCCGGCTGCGACCCTCGAGCGTTCGCAGCACCCGGCGCATCTAGGACGCAATGATCCCTGGCGTTCGAATATCGTCGGGTACCTCGTCGAGGGGGTAGGCGTACGCATCCAGCATCGCGCCCGTCGTCCGGAGCAAGGCTTTCGAAAGAGCATATTCGTTGCGCAGCCTACGCAGGACGCTGTCAGCAACGCAGCCATTATGTCGCAGATACCCGATGCGCTCCATGCGGACCGCGGCTTCGTACGCGCCAATCTCGGGGCTCGTCATGACCTACCACCGTGACAACGCGTTTTGCAGGAGCACGAAACATTGTAAGTACCTTGATGCGCATCGACTGCAGCATGCTCGGGGGCAACGGCGCGTCGAGGCGAAGCTCGTACGGGGTCTCCATGGTCGAGTTGACCATCTCGAGGATCGATGTCTTGAACTTGAGCAGCGGGTCACTCGCCTCGACTTGAATCGCCATCGGCAGCATATCGAAGGGCGACGGGTCGCCGCAAAAGCCGTAGTTGAGCATGTACAGCGTCATCGAGTTGTCGCCGAGGTTGATGACGACCTAGCACGTCGTACAAAGTACATGAGCCGATGAATGGGGCTGCGTGGATCGCACGGGGTCCCCGACGCCAAAGTGCTGCGTCGCCACCATTGCAAACGTCTGCGTGTCGTGGTTGACGTCAAAGTGGTTGCGCACCGTCGCGCTATGGCCCATCGTGCTGACCATCGGCACTAAAAGCGCTTCCATGTCGGCGGGATCGGCCTGCGACTTCGGCACAAGAATCGCATGCGCCCTATCAAGGAGCTCGAGCGACTGCCCAAGATACGCAACGGTACCACACGATGGAGAGCGCCCACTTGAACGATTCGAGCGTAAAGTCGAGCTCGCGGAAGAGCGGCGGGTCCATCGCATTCGACGTCAGCGGGCCATGCAGCGCGTCGTAGAACGTGGAGACGGCTTCGAGCCGCGCTTGCGTCAGCCGGTGCAGCTGCGAGCCCTCGATGAGGTCGATTTCGTCCTGCTCCGTATGAGTCCATGCAGAGTACTGTAATAATGCTATTGCTCGTACGTTGGGCAGATAGATGGTGCCGTGGAGCGTCTTGGGCAGCGCCCGCAGAAATGAAAACCATTTCGAGTCGGCGCCTTTGAACTTCTCTTCGAGCACGTGCAGCGCGAGCACAACTGCGTTCGGCAAGTCGGGGTTGGCGAGAAGCAGCGCCTGGATCCGGCCCTCCGCAGCCGTCTTGGCAGACATGGCGCTTGCGAGCGGCAGGCTCACGATGGTATCGCCTTTGGAGATGTTTCGGGCTGCCACGTACGCAGGACCGCGCCCGGACGCATGCCCTTCGGGGCGAATGTTCTACAGCAAGCGTCTTACGAAATGGATGTTACGCCATGCGTACGTGGAGGTGGCGAATCGAGTGCACGACGTCGTCGTCGCCAAAGTGGTCGACGGGCTCGACGATCGCCGGCGCTTTCACCGTGTTGATGATGAGCCCGTGGTTGACGACCTTGCCCGCGTCATGCATATGCATGGCGCCGGCAAGCACCGTGGAGGTCATGGCCATGAGCTGGAGCACGCGTCGCATCACGTCGCTTGGAATCTGGAAGATCGCGAATGCAAGAAAGGCTGCGTGTCGAATTTCGAAAACCTCTGACACCCGATGTGAATCCATGTCGTTTCAGAGGTTGTAACCCTACCCCGTTCCAACCGACGAACCGAACGAGTGCGCTTCGAGGGAGATTATTGTCTACTATGTCTACTGCAGGAGGTGCTTCTTGACTTGAAAGATGCGCACGATCCAGCCGTTGGACGTAAAGACCTCGTCAAAGTGCGTGAGGTCGATGGGCGCCGACCGGACGCGCGCGTTGCGATTGGTGTCGTACCCCGGCGGCTGCTTGAACTCGGGCGTCATGCCCTCGAAGCGGTAGTAGCTCAGCTTGTAGAGCACGCACTGCTCCATGGCTTCCGTCGCGCCGGGTGTCACTTGGACGCCGCCGTTGACTTCGAACCGGCCAATGTCGACAGAGTCGGGGAAGACGCCTTGGGCGATGCGGAGGAACCACGTAAACTTGTCGAGGTCGTCGCCCTACTCAGCCGCGTCATCATCGTCGAGCATACACGCATGTGAGTCGTACGTCGAAAGCGCTCACGCCGCCAAACAGCAAGAGCACGTAATCGACGTCGAGCGACTGCAAGATCGGCACCGCTTCCTCCTCGGTCGAGGCAAAGACGCGGCCGACGGTCGCAATGTGAGTGTTGTTCCACGTGTTGTTGTCGACGAGCACCGTCCGGTTGGCGAGGCTCGAGATCTGGTAGCCATAGTCCCACCACGAGAGCACGCGGGCGTCTTCCGGCGTGTTGTGCCGGAGCCACGCAAACGCCTCGCGAAAGTCGTCGTGGACGGTAAACTCCCACGTCGTGCGGTTCACTTGTTCGTGGACGAGCGACGTGCTCGAGTACGCCTTGCTCGAGATGCTCGAGCAGTGGAAGAGCTGCCACATGAGCAGCATCTACACCACCAACAATCGAGTCGCAACACAGCAGACAACATGGTCTCTACCGTCGTGGTGCCGACAAAGGCCATGATCATGCCGGGCGACTTGCGCTCGGGAAGCGCCTGCGGCTCGAGGTGCACCGCCGAGTACGTGAACGAGAAGAGGTCGGCGATCGCATCGTCACCTTCCGGCATCGCGTGGGGATGCAAGCGCTGGGCGTCTTTGATCTTTTGGAGCTTGTCGGCCTTGATGTCGTCGTCTTCGTTGAAGAAACCGCTCGCGTCCATGACGCTCTCGTGCTCGTCGCGCTTCATGACGAAAAAGACGCGGTCGAGGAGCCCCGAGACGCCGATCGCCGCGACGACGCACGCGGCGGGCGCCAAGGTGAGCACGAGGCGGTTCATAATGCCAGCAAAGTACCACGAGAGCGTGCTGTAGACGATAAGGAAGAACGCCCCGGGCGTCAACTCGTGCTTGGCCGCAAAGATGTAGTAGAGGCCGAGCGGCATCACGAGCAGGACAGGCCCAAAGCTCATGTAGAACGCGGCCCAGGACGTCGGCTGGTGCTCCGAGACGGACGCGATGATCGGAATGTACTTGGACGCGTACGTCGGGTCGAGAAGCGTGAGCGACCGGCCCGTCCACTGTAGTTTGCCCGTGAGTTGCAAAAGAAGCGCGAGAAGCGCCACGAGCCCGACGAGACCAGCGCCGGCCGTCGTGATGAGCTGGCGCACCTGCGTCGCCGAAAGCGACGACGAGAGGTGCGACTGGAGGTACTTGCCAAACGCAAACACTTGGAGGCCGCCAAAGACGCCGTGGGACCCAATGCACTCGGCCTTTTGAATGACGTTGAAGCCGACGAACGGGACTTGCATCGCGAGGATCGTCGCGAGGATGTAGAACGTGCAGTAGGCGATGTACAGGTTGGGCGTGTAGCGGCCCGAGAGGACGAGCACGAGCACGTGGATCGGGATCACGTTGATGAGAAAGACGTACCCACCCCACGAGAGCACCATGGCAAAGTACGCGCCGGCCGTGAGCGCCGCGTCGACCATCGAGCCCGAGTCGACCGACTTGACCCAGAGGTAGAAAACGAGCACGAGGAGGAAGATCGCGACGCCTTCGTTGTCGTACGAGCCGCCAACCGAGCGCGAGATGTAGGCGGGGGCAATGCTAATGAAGAAGGCGGCGAGGAGGCCCGTACGCGGCTCCTTGGTGATGTGAGTCGCGAGGCCATATGTAGCGACCGCCGTAGCCGCCGCAAAGAAGGGCGCAAAGTAGACGCACACGTCCAAGATCGAGATCGGGAACCCGACAAAGTGCATGGCGCGGTAGACCGACGGCGAGATGAGCATCAAGCCCGGGTACAGGGTACCGCCGACGACGCGCCCGAGCGGGTACCAGGCGCGGTCGTCGAACCAGTTGAGGAACTCGCTGAACGAGTTGGTCGCGAGGAACTTGGACGTGCGAAAGTTGAACTGCGGGTCGTACTCGTGGATGACGCGGCCCCACTTGACGACCGAGAAGAGGCGGATCGCGACCGCGAGGACGCAGATGGCACCGAGGAGCGCACCGGCAAAGACGCGGTCGCTTGGCGTCGTCGACGTGCTGGTGCGGAAGGCCGCGGGCGCCCACGTCGCCTTGGGTGCGTCGGTCGAGGCTTTCGCCGTCTTCTCGCGCCGGGCCATTTTGTCGGAAAACCAGGGACTAACGTCGCCCCACCGATTCGTTTTATTGTACTTGACGTTTGTATGTGGAATTGACCAGAAGGTATTAAAATGCACCGCCGTCTCTGCAACGCCACGTAGCGCCACGCAAGTCCAAGCTGCCGAGCCAATGGAAACGCAGGGTGTCTATCACGCCATGGTATCAAGAATGACCGAGCGTACTGGTGGAAAGGCAGCGATCCACGAGCGAGCGATAGCGACCTCTGGGCCAAGGAATCCATTTCTTTCCTTGGCAGAACGAACGCCATCTCGCGCAGCCCTGATCTCGTGCGACAGAGTCCACGTGGAATCGTCCAGCCATTCCAAGCCTCGTGGTACATGAAACCTGGTAGACTCTCGCGGGCCTTCTTCGTCAAAGAATTACACCCACTCAGACATCTAGTAAGTGCCAGGAATGACTATCCGAACCAGTGCGACGCGGCCCCGTCACGAGCGTTCTGGCAGCTTTTGAGTGCGGGAGGATATGGCCGGCACCCCAGTTCGTGTGGTACCAAAATGCGGGAAAGCCAGCGGGAGCTGAAGCGATGGACACTGGTTGCCCACTGCTCTATCGAGAGCGTTTTTGCCAAGCCAGACAAGTCGCAAGTGTTTTCGTGTGAGAGAAGCTTGCACGAGACTTGGGTCCGTTGGGTTGCAGCGCCGCAAGCAATCCAAAGGAGCCAAGGGCAAAGAGAAACAAAGGACCTTCGTTCTTGAGGCAACTGGCTTGAAGCGGCGGGATCTCTTGTACCACGCCTGGGAAGAGACAAATGGAATCTGCCCGGCAAGGTCCCCAAGCACAATCGTCGGCACTACACAGCTCGAGAGTGCCTGCGCTGTGCTGGACGCATGGCGGCTGCATACTCACCAAGGCAGCAAGCAATTGCCGGTTCTTCTTTTCGGCGACCCATGCTTCTCACACTTGAGGAAGAGATTGCAAAGTTCAGAAGCGCCCGGGCTCGGGTCCACAACTCATCCAGGATGATGAGGCTGTCCCACGCCCGCGGTGGACGTAGCTACTTCGCGTGATATCGGCACTCGGCATCGCTAACCATCAAACGGGACCTGGTCGGCCAGCGAAGAGACGCGTGTGGCCACCAGTCGTTCGCAGGATGAAGCTGAGAACGATGGCGCCGACACTTGGCGAGACGAGCAACTAGCGCCGAGTGCAAGCGGTGACGAGCGACATTGCACCCATGCCACGACGTCGTGCGTCGATGCATCGCTGTCATCGTCCATGGGCAAACCTACCGCGCCGTCTGTCGAGGAACCGCCGATGCATCATCGACGCGCTTTGTCAGTGGTAGCCGAGCCGGGCTGTGACGCCGTCGTCGCATCGCCACGGGTGCATCCTGTAGCTCCGTGTCGCATTCCCTGGAGCCTCCTCACATCGGCGTCGGGCCGTCTCGTTCCGCGCCCATCGCGCTCCTCGTCCAAGACGACGCTAGCTTCCATCGTGCCGCATGCTCGTTGGATCTGGTTTTCGAGAAATCCCGAATTCTGATGTTCATTTCGGCAAAAACCTACCTGGAGCACAGAACTGGGATTTAATACATTTCGAAGAGGCTGTCGATACACTTGATCTGGGTATCAAGGATTCTGCGTTTTAAAAATGATCGGAAGAAACTGGATTCATACAAAGTTGAAGTCAAAAGGCCAGCCCCGCGCACCCATTGTGCGACCTCCCGGATGCTACGACGGGTCTGCTGCACAGCGCTGCTGCTTCTGGCACCAGGCGCCATGGCCGCGATTCCGCCCCGAATGGGCTGCGGCCTCAACGCAGCCTTCCAGCAAGACATCGCCGAGTCCGTGAACCAGTGGTGCATCGCCTGCCCGGTCTCGCCGTACGAGTGCTTCCCGCCACACGACTCGGTCACGCTGCAGGTGCAGGCCGAGGACAGTGTCTCGTACGATCTCAACATGGCGACCGATGCGCTCACGATACGGGCTAACGTCAATCTCGTTGCTGCGCTGCGAGATCCTGTGACGAATGCATCCACGGGATGCCGCCACCTGTACGACCCGCGCTTCCGCCACCCGAGCTCACAACGCACTGTCTCGTAGAGCGATCCTCGGCGACGCCAACACGACGACCAACGTTAGCCTCGCGAGCTTTCAGGGTCTTGCTCGGCTAACCTCTCTGTACGCCTCGAACACTGCAGGCCTGGGCTGACGCCTTTGATGTAGGGTCCTGCGAGGAGTCGCACTTGAAGCCTCTACGCCTACGACAAGCTCTGTGGCATCCATGTAAGATTCAATGGATGAGGAATGCGAGCGCTATTGTGTGTCTAGCACGATTGGCGACAGCACGCTGCCCAACACGACGCTACAACTGCAAGCGTTTGAGCAGCTCACAACGCTGTACGCACCTCTTGTTTCTCGAACCCAACTCACTGCATGTTTCTTCTGGACAGAGCCATCACCAACAGCTCTCTCCGCAGCTACCCATCCCTCGCCCCGGCTGTGCTGGCCACACTCTCTTCACTGTACGCAACGCCTCGCATCACCGGATACTCATGCCAATGCTCCTAGCAACTTGCGTGGGAATGCATTAACGACCTTCCCAATGCAAGTGCTCCAATTAACGCACGCCAACGTCTCCATGTACACGCACCTGGCGATTTCATCCACGCCTGACGAGGCCATAATGTACCATTAGCGACTTGCAAGGCAACCCGGGTCTTGGCGCGCCGACCAACGCAACGCCCGCCGAGCTCGCCACGTACGCGGCGCTTCTCAAGTCGGGACAGCTCCTTGTGGACGCGGCCATGATCGTGACGCCGGCGCCGACGGCCGCCACAAGCAACATTTCGCCGTCCATGGTCGACCCGACGTCGAGCAGCAAGAGCCCACTCAGTGCCCGTAGCGCCTTGTCCTGGTCCACAGTCCTGCTCATCGTCGCTGGCTGCTGCATCGTTGCGGGCGTCGTCTTTGTCCTCGTCTTCCGGCACCGTAAAATGTCGTCGTTTCTCACTCAGCAGCAGAGCTCGCTCGCTGCGAGCTTCCTTGCGTCGGGCGGTGACCGCGCCATGTCTCCGTTCTCTGCGCCCGCCCGCGCGTCGCCGCAGTTTGTCCCGAACGTTGGTCCGTTCCCGGCGCTCGCGTCGTACCGGCTCCTCGACGCCAGCGAGCTCTCGCGCATGAAGACGAATGCCGCGACGGGCATTCTCAGCGCCATCTACAAGAGCGAGCTGGTGAGCCTCAAAAAGTTCGACGTGCTCGCCGTCCAGTACGACACGCACCTCGATATGTTTCTAACGCAGCTGGAGCGAGCGTCGCTGTTGAGCCACCGGAACGTCGTCGCCCTCCTCGGTGGTGTCCAGCTCTCGGGCATCGCGATCGCCGGTGTCTTCGAGGGCGCGGAGAAAGGGTCGCTCCCGAGCCTCCTCGCCAACGACCAAGTCGACTTGAGCTGGGCGCTCACGCTGCAAATGGCGACGGGGCTCGCAGACGGCCTTGCGTATTTGCAAGAGCATACGGACGATGCGACGCAGTGGACGAGCCGCGACGTTGTCGTGCAGGAAGACTACGACTGCAAGTGGAACATCATGCGCTGGCTCGACGACGAGAGCGGCGAGACGATGGGCTATGGCCGCGCGACGCTGGCTTATGTTGCCCCCGAAGCGCTCCTGAGTCAACCCTCGACACGCGGACCGATGCAGGTCTACACGCTCGGCGTACTCCTCGGCGAGCTCGCGACGAGATTAGCTCCGTACGCCGAATGGATCCACGAGCTCGGCGCTGTGAACGCCGACGTGATGGTGGTCGAGAGCTATGGCGGCTCAGGTCCACCTCTTGTGCCGCACTCAACGATGGCCGAGACGACGCCGGTGGGCTACAGCGCCATTGTGGCCGACTGTCTACGACGAGACCCGTCGGCCCGCCCCACGGCGCGAGACGTCGTACATCGCCTGCTTGTGATGCGCACCAGTCTCTAGACGTCTACTCCATCCTGTAAAACGCCGGTGATTATGTACATACTCGTGGTGTCGCTGCAAGAACGCTGTTATAGCTCCTCCATCGACAGCATCGCGAGCAGCAAAGGGCGTTGCCTGTCTATTTTGGGCCACCTGCTATGGATCCCCACCAACTGCAATGTGATATTTTGAGCGACCGGTTTCGCGTCAGCTAAAATAGCTGACCAATCCCCGCGCGAAACCGCAGCTAGCTAATTATACTCGTGGCGAAAAAAGAAGATCCGCGCGGGCTGCTTCCGAATGCATTTTCAATTCAAAGAGCTTCCGCTCACCCACCCGGTACCACCACCCAGGTTCATTGGACCCTCTACGACCATCGACCATGCAGAAGCAGCCCTCGTCCGCGTCTCGCCAGCAAGGTAGCCTCGTCCTCCTCATCCTCAACTTCAACCAACACGTCCATGTAGGCAACCGTAACGTGCTTCAGGGCAAGAATGGCCGCATGAACGCGACCAAGTCGAACGCTGCCAAGCTCACGGCGCCGCCACCGACCAACACGCCCAGCCGCCGGTCGGAGACCCCGGCGCCAGCGGCCGTTGCGCCTGCCCGTATGGGCTGGACCGAGCCGCGCGCCGGTAGCCCTCGCGTGCTTGTGGCGTCGCCAACGGCGATCAAGTCGACGTTGCACGCGGACGCGGCGCCATGGATCGGCAAGTCGTCGCCGTCGCACGCCGCGCACCACCACCCGACGGGCCGGTGGGGCGATGACGCGCTCGAGCACGACATGAACCCGTATGGTCCATACTCGTCGATTGCGCCGACCGTGTGGTCGGCGCCCGCCCAGTGGAACGGGCAAATGTATGCCCAGACGCAGCTGTACCAGCAGCCATGGCAGCAGCCCGATGGACGAGCGCTTTTCCCGGCGCCGACATCAGCGTGGGAAGCGCCGTCGGTGCGCATCCTCAAGCGTGACGAGCAGCAAGCCAAGTCGCCCCGGGTGACCCCGGCGCAAATCCAAGCCATCTTGTCGCCGCGTAGCGGTAACTTGAAGTCGGACTCACCTCGCGCCAGCACGACGCCCAAGCATGTGGCATTTGATGGCCACGCGGCGCGCACCAGCAGCCCGTCGAACCACTCGCGCCCGTCGACGCCGCGCCAGCGCCGCCAGTCCAACCCTGCACCTGCGCCGCTGCCGATGACCAAGGCGCAAAAGAAAGAAGCCGATGAAATCTTGAACGTCCTCAGCGGCGACGAGGGCGACAGCAGCAACTCGCGCCGCCGCCCCGCCAAGCTCCAGCTGCCAAAGTCGCCCCGTAGCCAGCAGGTGCCCAAGCAGCAAAAGCTCTCCAAGACCCAGCGCAAGGAGCAAGACGAGATTCTGGCCATCTTCAGCGACGGCGACGAGCTGCCCCGCGACCGCAAAAGGTGTCGACGCGCAAGCAACCGCAGGCCAAGCACATGGTGCTCTCACCCCGTGGCTGGGTCGCATCGCCCCGTGGTGGCCAAGCTGCTGCCAAGGTGTCGCCCCGCCAAACCGCCAAACACCGTCCAAGAAGGCGTCACTCTCCAAGGCCCAGAAACGCGAGCAGGACGAAATCTTGGCCATCTTCAGCGACGGCGATGAGCTTCCTCGGGACCGCAAGGCCAAGACTGCGCGCAAGCAGCAGGCGGGCCAGGGCAAGCACATGGTGCTCTCGCCCCGCGGCTGGGTTGCCTCGCCTCGCGGCGGCCAGACCGCCAAGCAGTCGATTACTTCGCCCCGTAATGCGTCGCCCTCGAAGAAGCAGCAGAAGCTCACGAAGGCCCAGAAGCAGGAACAGGAAGAGATCTTCGCCATCTTCAGCGACGGCGACGAGCTTCCGCGTGACCGCCGCAAGAAAGCGACGTCTCGCAAGCAACTGTCGCAAGCGCATGGCAAGCAGGTTGCGACTGTGGCGCGTGGTGGCACTGCGACTCCCAAGAAGCTGCTGAAGCTGTCCAAGGCTCAACTGCAGGAGCAGTCGGAGATCCTTGCCATCTTTAGCGATGGTGACGAGCTCCCGCGCGACCGTAAGGCCAAGAAGTCTCTGAAGAAGCAGACCGGTCCCTCTCCGCGCAACTTGCAAGCCAATAAACACGCGTCTGTGGCGTCGCCCCGCGGCAGCCAATCTTCCAAGCAGTCGATTGCTTCGCCTCGCAACGCCCCGAAGAAGCAGCAGAAGCTCTCGAAGGCGCAGCAACAAGAGCAAGCTGAGATCCTAGCCATCTTCAGCGATGGCGATGAGCTCCCGCGCGACCGCAAGGCCAAGAAGGCGGCGCCGCGCAAGCAACCTGCCAAGCAGAAGGTCGTCTCCCCTCGCCCGTCATCGGCCACGGTGAAGAAGGCTGCCCTCTCTCCTCGCAAATCGGCTACGCAGCAGAAGCTCTCATTGGCTCAACAGAAAGGACAATCTGAGATGTTGGAAGATCGGGAGCGGTGGCGATGAGCTTCCGCGCGACTGCAGGGTTTCGGTAGTGCTGCGCAATCTACGGGTCTATAAGCTGGATCTTTGCATCCAGTGCGAAGGAACTGAGAGAGATAATATAGAAAGATAGACGTGCTTCGAGTGAGGATAGTCTAGTGGAGGTTTCGGTACTGACTGAAGATGA